GCATGAAACACAGACAGGTGGCAATCTAAAACATCTATAAACAGTACAAAACTGTAATGAGGGCACGAAACACAGACATGTGGAACATCTAAAACATCTATAAACAGTACAAAACTGTAATGAGGGCATGAAACACAGACATGTGGAACATCTATAAACAGTACAAAACTGTAATGAGGGCATGAAACACAGACATGTGGAACATCTATAAACAGTACAAAACTGTAATGAGGGCATGAAACGCAGACATGTGGCAATCTAAAACATCTATAAACAGTACAAAACTGTAATGAGGGCATGAAACACAGACAGGTGGCAATCTAAAACATCTATAAACAGTACAAAACTGTAATGAGGGCATGAAACACAGACAGGTGGCAATCTAAAAACATCTATAAACAGTACAAAACTGTAATGAGGGCACGAAACACAGACATGTGGAACATCTAAAACATCTATAAACAGTACAAAACTGTAATGAGGGCATGAAACACAGACATGTGGCAATCTAAAACATCTATAAACAGTACAAAACTGTAATGAGGGCATGAAACACAGACAGGTGGCAATCTAAAACATCTATAAACAGTACAAAACTGTAATGAGGGTATGAAACACAGACATGTGGAACATCTAAAACATCTATAAACAGTACAAAACTGTAATGAGGGCATGAAACACAGACAGGTGGCAATCTAAAACATCTATAAACAGTACAAAACTGTAATGAGGGCACGAAACACAGACATGTGGAACATCTAAAACATCTATAAACAGTACAAAACTGTAATGAGGGCATGAAACACAGACATGTGGAACATCTATAAACAGTACAAAACTGTAATGAGGGCATGAAACACAGACGTGTTGAAATCTAAAATATCTATAAACAGTATAAAACTGTAATGAGGGCATGAAACACAGACAGGTGAGGTCTATAAACAGTACAAAACTGTAATGAGGGCATGAAACACAGACATGTGGCAATCTAAAACATCTATAAACAGTACAAAACTGTAATGAGGGCATGAAACACAGACAGGTGGCAATCTAAAACATCTATAAACAGTACAAAACTGTAATGAGGGCACGAAACACAGACATGTGGAACATCTAAAACATCTATAAACAGTACAAAACTGTAATGAGGGCATGAAACACAGACAGGTGGCAATCTAAAACATCTATAAACAGTACAAAACTGTAATGAGGGCATGAAACACAGAAATGTGGAAATTTCAATGGTATTATCAAGTTCTTGGGCGGAGTGTGCATCTCCTGTTTACCGATCACACCCGCAGCAGTAAATCAGGTCTTTTTTCGAAAAGCAAAACTTATAACCGTCACCTGGTGGCCAATAAAAAAAGTTACATGCTTTAATGTACGTTGCTGACTTTCAAAAATGATGATTTCTAATTTTTTTTTTTTTTGAAGTTTCTAAAAGTTTATAATCAAACATATGTCATGAGCCTTGTACCGAAGCATATTATTTCCTTTCACATTTCACACATTTACACTGAATAGTAGTCAAGTTCATTATATTACTGCATTAAAACCCTTTCAAAGATACAAAGTGGGTTCCAATAAATGTTCTACCAAGCCTCTCTTCTACTCTTTACTAAAATATTAATGTCATGAAAGGAAAGCCTGCAGGAGTGTTGTGCCACAATATATTTGAGAAGTGGTGTAACTTATATTTGGATACTTAACACCCCAGGAACTTTTGAAATATTTGAAATAAAAGAATATTTACCAAAACCAACAATATAAAAACGAAAGACTTTTCAAGTTACATACAACCATTTCCCACGATAAAATAAGATTCACGCTTTTTGATATCATTCACAGCTGGAACTCTTATATTTGTACTAACCTTGTCACTGGTACACGAACGAATACTCTGAGTTGACATTAAAAAGATGTAGGAGTTTCTGATTGACAATATCAATGTGGAATTTGGAGACGAGTTCTTCAACAATCATTCCCATGCGTACCAATTACGCCATTGTAATTAACAGACCTATTTTTGTATTCAAATGAAGCAGATTTTGTTCACAATCTTAAACGTGAAAAGAAGCAAATACTCGCTGTGGCCCAACTCGACATTCAGATATATCGACCGACGATACTGTAAGCTAAAAGCCGCTATTTGCATTACTATGATATTCGATATGACATCCCGGTTAGCTCGAAATAAAAGATACCAAGGAGGTGGTACATATGTTTCATTATTGTATAATTTTACTTAAAAGACGTTAATAGTAATCTTACAACCAAGATAAACGCAATGAGTTTAACTTTTTTTAATCGTCAACTTCCATTATTTATGCAGCAATAAACCGTCATCATCTGCATATGGTTAATATCTCTCAGTTGATTCAATACGCAAAAGCGTCCTCTACTTATGAACAATTTTTTGAAAGAGGTAAGTTATTGACAAACACGTTGATGAAACAAGAGTTCCAACAGTCTCGTTTAAAGTCATCATTTCGTAAGTTCTATGGTCGATACAATGACATTGTCGGGAAATACAAATCTATCAATAAATTAAATATTGACAGACGATTTTAATTTCATATTAATTGTTAGGCCAGTATTTACACACTGAATCGGATATTTCCGTTATTTCCCGATCATGACAAGTGAGTACACGGCGGGTATGACTGGTCATCAGGGAACGCTCACTTCTCCATGGCACATCTGATACTTTTAGAGCTCGGTGTTAATTTGCTTTGCACCAAAAGTGCTGCTTATTGGACTTTTGTGCTTGGAAACAGTTCATCATCTGCATAAATTTCATTTATACGCCTGTATCTTTTAAAGAATGTATCGATAATATCAATAATATAATATATTCAGATGTTTTCGATAAATCAGGATATATCCAAGACTGTGAGCTATGATTTCTGAAAGCGCAGTACATAAAATTAATAACTGTGACATAATCAAAGTCCAATATTTCTGGAGTTCTGTCGATAAAGCTTGATTGAGTGTTACGATGACTGCGGCATAAAACCCCCAATTACATTATTTTCACATGGAGGACGTATTTTAATGAGAGCTTTTCTTTTTCTTCGGCTGGTAATATCCTATTCTCGTTTTCCCTATGTGCTTCACGCTCACAGAGAGCAGGAGTAATCAGCTATATAAATGCCAGAGTGAAAATAAATCACAGAGCTCAATTCCTGCTAATCCTACGGACGGGCATGTAGCTCCTTCAATTTTCACTGTTAAATTGAGCGACGAGGAAAGAGATCACGAAACACATCATGAAACCGAGTTTCTTGTTAACACGAACATTGTCTATGGGAATAAGGTGCATTTAATTTGTTGTTTAATTTTACAAAACTTTTAAACGTCTGCGAAGCAGGTAACCTCATTAATGTAATTGTTCAGTCTTTTCTTGGCGTATAAATGATGTCATTTGGGTCTTACATGTAATGTAGTACAAAGGTAAATCAAGTAGTTCAATTTAATTATAATTGTACTTTTACCAAAGTACCGACTTCTTGAACTCAAAGATTTCCTCTCTAAGTTTAAAAAAAAACGTCCGTAAAGCAACCTTCAAATTTAGTAGCCTACAACACTCTCTAAAGTTAAGTTCAGTTTAGTCATTTATCCAAAATATTGAAACTTTACGAAAGCCCACTAGAATCTGTGTATGGGGGAAAATGTATTTAAGCAAACTGTAAAGCCGTAAAAACGCTTATGAAAGACATATAAACTCTCACAGAATACAAATTAGGTGTTATATAGCTTTCAAAAAAGAGTTATTACAATACTCTATAATGCAAAGTAAAAGGCATTCTTACGCTTTTCAAAATATGTCATATTTACAAATTTTCAAACCAGGCAAAGCATTCTACATGATAGATTTATAGAAGTGAGGAAGATTTTCTTTAAGGATGTATTTTCAACTAAGTTCCAGTCCAAGTGAAGAACTCTTGGTCGAGGGCATGACTGATTTAATATAGAAATTTGGTAATTAGCTAATAATAATAAAATATAAATAAAATTTAAAGAGTTTGCAATTAGAAATCTTATATTATAGTTTGCAGCTAACTGTAAAGTTTCACGTTACGTCACGATCTAGTTGACAGCTGCGCTCAAGGTAAATTGTACACACCTCCTAACCTCAAGCTTTACGACTGGAACTTTCTTCTTATCCCTGATTGGTTGCTCGTGCAACAGACTATTTCCGTGTCAATGTTGATAATTTGAGTTGACCAATCACATGAATTGTTTACGCTGGATGCATCTGACGAAAAAGATCGTAACGTAACGTAAAACTTTACAGTTAGCTGCAAACTATAATAATGTGTATTTCATGTCCACGTTCTCTAATGTAAGAACCCTGAAAAAAGGGTCATGGATTTTAATATTTTTGATATAGTGTTAATTACACGTTTATAAGAAAGATATGTAATAGTTTGCTTGCATTCTTTCCAAGAAGAGAGAATAAAGTTTTTCAAGTGTGAAATAAATCATTCATCTATTTTACTGTGTAAAACTATAAGCACAACCAAAGGCATAAATCCTCAAGGACTTGGGTACCATGATTTTAAAGAGTACAGGTTTGATTTATCATTATACTCATGCAAACACCTGTATCCTAACAGGAGAATTGAATACGAATTCAAGATATAAAAGCTCTGTGCTGTAAATTTTTGAACTCCCAGCATAGATTTTTATCAACCAGAATAGCATATAAGTCAAATTTACTAAAAATGAAGTAAGAAATATTGCTTTCTTTTAAAAAAAAAAATGAATATTACCTTATGTTTAATTATGAAATGAAGAAAATGTCAAAAATGAATTGAAAATGGTTCGTTAGGCTGAAGATTCTGTGTCAAGTGATGAAACGAAAGGAACGGTAAGGCGTTGAAGAAGAAAATAATAAATATCCTCCAATATCATGAATATGAGAATCTTGATTGTAAGGGAATACATTAGCATTGCCATCAAAAATATAGCCAGGACTACTTCGTCGAGTAATTCCGGAACTGCAAAGTATATCGTTTTGGGTTTAAATTTTATGGCGCGAGTAGCTATTCCGGAGAAAATTTTACAGAACGAAGAAAGACTTTGAAGAGAGAAATATTGAGAGATTATGTCGGAAAAGGTGAGATAGAGTTCTTCATTAAATGGGGGATAAAAACATTTAAGATCATACTATTTAAATATCTGTTTATATTTGCTTACACGGCATACAATGTTTTCAATTTCGATCATTTCTGACTGAATATCAGTGATGACGCTTTAGCTCTTCACCATATTTACGTTTTTTCTACGTCTGTTGATCAGAAATTAGGATAGTCTGGGTTGTTTGCTTTTCTTGAATTAATTTATTTTAATAAATATTTACTGAATACTACATCGTGATTTTTACCAAAAACTCTATTTCAAATAAATGAATGGTTTCTTTACCCATTAAACAGGTTGGGACCAATCGCCCAAATGGCACATCTGGTATATAATGTCTCAGATGGGATATAAAAGTACAAAGTAAAAGATGAAAAAATATTTGGGCTACAAATATCATAATTCTGCATAAGGCCTAGATAAATAAATTATGTGTGTTTGGTTCCCCGACTGACCCTTAACTATATGAGGTGACCTTAAAAATTTTATCCATCAATATCTTTCTGAAAGTTAACAAGTCCAGTTTTCCTATTAGAAATCTAAATTTCAATCACCTCTGTGTATGTGAAATTGCATGTCCTATACACATTGAATAGAAATGTTCTGACATGATTTCCACGTTAAAAATGACTGTGTTCTTGCTTATAAAATGTAAATGAAAAATAATAAATGACGTGTTTTACCTACCTACCCTATTTTTTCTCAGGTTGGAATAGGAAACACACTGTTTATTTATCTAGGCTCAGATACACTGTACTTAAGATAAATTGATCTCCAAGAAATTTAGGGACTTCTGAGAAATCAATTCTCCTATACAGTTGACATAAAGATGAAATTGTCAATAATAAATTATTGATATATATATATATAAGTATATTAATGCTGGATTGCAGATTTGTTTTTTATCCCATGTTTACCCCTTTATCCTGTGGATATGACTCATTGGATAAAATTTTTGATATCCCACAGTTAAGTGCAGTTATGACATCACAATGGTTTTTGCGTTAGCATGATGAAGTAAAATAAAGTGCAGTCCTTTATGAAAATAGTGTAAAACATCAGTTGTGAAGTATTAAATGTTGGATAAAAAGAATCTTCCATGAATTGTAGTTGCCACTGTTGGATATGATTTTTATCCAACAAATTGTGTGTTTTTATATCCCCTCGCCAATTAAGGCTCTGGGATAAAAAACACACAACTCATTGGATAAAAATCATATCCAACTACAAATCATGGGAGATCCTATATTTATTTGTTTTTAAAATTTAAGAAAATCATTTTTTGCACTGTAAAATCACCCATTGGGGAAATTATATCCCAAATCGGTTACTATCTGTAATTTGGGTGACTGATCCAAACCTGATTAGAAATTTATAGGAACAATTACATAAAACATAAATAAATGAAAAAAAGAACAAATTAACAATAAAGATTACTAGAGAGAGTAAGAGATTCAAAAGATAGGTACATGTAACAAAGTTTGAGACAGCAATCATGTAAAAGTTGGACTTTTGAAAAGAAAATAATGGCATCAATGTAGTTCTTCCTCTTGTTTTTTAGCTCTACTGGTCAGAGACCAGAAGAGCTTATGCAATGAGTAATGCGTCCGGCGTCCGTCCGTCTGTCTGTCTGTCCGTCTGTCTGTAAACAATTTTTCAAAACGCTACTCCTCCTACAATTTTAGTCTGATTTCAGTATTACTTGGCACACAAGTAGACTACACTAAGTTACACAGAATAGTGCATCGATTTTTAATTTTGATGAACGGTGTTGCCATGGTTACTAAAAATAGAATTTTCTGTTAAATTCCTTGAAAACACTACTCTTTCTACAGTTTTGGTCTAATTTCAATATACCTTGGCACACAAGTAGACTACACTAAGATACATAAAATAGTGCATGGGTTTTTGATTTTGATGAACGGTGTTGCCATGGTTACTAAAAATAGAATTTTCTGTGAAATTCCTTTAAAACACTACTCCTTCTACAGTTTTGGTCTGATTTCAATATAACTTGGCACACAAGTAGACTACACTAAGATACATAGAACAGTGCATCGGTTTTTGATTTTGGTGAACAGTGTTGCCATGGTTACTAAAAATAGAATTTTCTGTGAAATTCCACTCCTTCTACACTTTTTAATATAACTTGGCACACAAGTAGACTACACTAAGATACATAGAATAGTGCATCGGTTTTTGATTTTGATGAACGGTGTTACCATGGTTACTAAAAATAGAATTTTCTGTGAAATTCCTTTAAAACGCTACTCCTTCTACAGTTTTAGTTTGATTTCAAAATAAGTTGGCACACAAGTAGACTACACAAAGATACATAAAATAGTGCAATGGTATTTGATTTTTGGTTATACTTATACTGAAGTTATAGTCTGTCCCATGACCTGAACATCACCACTTTTTGCGAAATATCTAGAAAATACATTTATACCTTGGCCGTCCAATAAGTAGATTGATTTTTGTTCAGACTTCCTGCATACCCTCAAGGTCAGCCAGTGTATACGTGTACATTTATGTAGGTTGAATGCAATAGATTTTGAGGATTTGTGAATATTTTGTGTGGTAAAGTTACATTAAATTCTGTATAAAGTAAACAAATTCTTATCAATCATTGGGATTATTTTCTTACAGAATGGGGATGAACCTGGCCCATCGACAAGCAAGAGCAAATTTAGTCGGCTTCAAAGGTTTAGAGACTTAGAATTAAAGATGGTAAGATCTTTGGTTTGAGACATGAATGTTATATCAATTTTTTATCTCAAAAATGAATAAAAAGTTAAGATGAAAAAAGTGAACTATGAAGGAAAACAGACACATCTGCGATAATTTGAACTTCTGATGGATTTCAGAATGAAGCAAGGAAGTTAAATCACCAAGAAGTAGTGGAAGAGGATCAGAGAAATAAACTGCCGGCCAACTTTGAACAGAAACGGAAGAGGGTCGAGTGGGAGGAAGAGCAAGAGAAAAAGAGAAAGGTAATCATAAAATTTAAATTGTTATTAAAGCTTCAATTTAGATATGCTTTTAAAGAAAGAAAGATCTATGTACATGCTGATCTATTGATAAAGAACAAATATTACATAAGGAAACATTTCAATATCATTTGTAGCAAAAGATATTTTGTAGTTTCCTAAAGATCAGTATTTACTTTGCTTCTTTTTATGCCCCCTTCCATGAAATGCTCAGGGAATATAGTGTTACCACTTTCCTTCAATCATTCTGTCATAGTTATTTTTCTGGACTTTTCTACTGTGTTTGCAGATAATGACCTGCTTCTTTGAAATGTGTCTATATCTTGAAGACTTATTTATAAGCAAGTTCAGGTTTCACTTTTACTGGTTTGTTTTCATCATAAATCATGAAAGGTATTGTCCTTAAACTTCAAAATTTCTAATTATTACCATTATCTGGCCCCTTTATTGCTTGTATATGATGAATTTTACATGCATACATCAATATTTCTTTATAATTGATGATTTACAGAAAAAAAGTCGTAAATTCTTCTAACATTATGTCAGGTTAAAAATTTCAGCAGTGAACATCTTGAGGTTGTCTTCCTTTGCATGGGATTTAGTAAACCATGTGTGTAGGTGTCACAACAGTATTGAATTCTGCTATAAATTCTTACCAAGAACGTGCAAGTTTGAGTAGATGTAATTTATTTAAAACAAACTTCTAAGAAGTTTTCTTTTCAGATCTTGTTAAACCATTCTTTATAAAGATTTTAGTACAAAAAAAAAACATAGCCATCCAGCAAGGTATGCAAGTTTGTTTCAGTCAAAGTCAAGCAGGTGCTTGAAGATCTAGCCCAGGGCTTAATCACTCCCCACTCTTGACAGTATAAAGAAAAATCTCGCCTGCGACGAATGTCGCGAAGCGAGACATAGCGACCATAGATTCCGTCGTCGTCGTCGTCGTCGTCGGCGTCCAACTTTTGGTTAACCCAAATGTCAAAGTTTTATAAACTGCAATAACTTTCTCAAATTTTATTCAGTCTTCTTGAAATTTGGACACAATATTCAGTATGGATAAAAATTTATATCCCAAGTATGATTTTGAAAAAAAAAATTCAAATTTTTCCGTATTTTTTCCTTAAGTTGGACTTAGTTTTTTCATGATAATTTATGGTGAAGACCTATATTCCAGCAACTATAAGTTATAGGGATATGATAATTAGTCAGTGGATACATCATGGGTAACCACAAACGTCAGTACCAGAATTAGGTCATCTTGACCTACATTTTTCTGCATGAGTGACTTTGGTTAAATTTTTGGTGGAGGTCCATATCTCAGCATCTATAACTTATAATGGCATGATGATTTGTCATTGTACAGGTTATAAGTAACCAACAACATCAGTACCAGAATTAGGTCATTTTGACCTACATTTTTCTGCATGAATGACTTTGGTTAAATTGATAATGGAGGTTCATATTTCAGCAACTATAACTTATAGTGGCATGATAGTTAGTCAGTGGATACATCATGGGTAACCACAAACGCCTGTACCAGAATTAGGTCATCTTGACCTACATTTTTCCGCATGAGTGACTTTGCATAAATTTATGGTGGAGGTCCATATCTCAGCAACTATAACTTATAGTGGCATGATAATTTGTCAGTGGATACATCATGGGTAACCACAAACGCCTGTACCAGAATTAGGTCATCTTGACCTACATTTTTCCGCATGAGTGACTTTGCATAAATTTATGGTGGAGGTCCATATCTCAGCAACTATAACTTATAGTGGCATGATAATTTGTCAGTCTACACATCATGGGTAACCAACAATATCAGTACCATAATTAGGTAATCTTCACCTACATTTTCTGCATGAATGACTTGATACATATACAGTGGATTTGATTTCAAAATGCAAGTTCAAATTATTGCGACTCATAACACGTTGCAATTTTCGCAATAATAAAAACATCACAATAATTTGTGAATTTACAGGGTATATGTATATATATATAAATGCCAATATAATCGCCAAGGGATTAGATATTAAGTCAGCTGTTCCATTTCTTTATTATTGTATTTTTGAGTTATTCCTTCTGAAATGTCAATAAATGCTTCAGTTTATCAGACAATCATTTCTTACTAACCACAGCGACAGCAGGCGAGACACAGGGTTGCGGGCAACCCTTACGTACTTTTTAATAAATCTGGTCAATACAGGAAGTTTACGTGTTGTTTTTCATCTCATAAAAAAATTCAGCTCCAGTCTGGTATCAAAATGCCCAATCGGGAGGGGAGATTCCGGGATTATTTTGTGTCAGCCATAATTTGACGTTACACAGGTGAAATACTGTTAAGACACCTGTATACGTGACATGTACTTAAAAAAGCAGGCTTCATATTTATGTGGCTTTGGAGAATGATGCCCCTCTTCTTGAATACCACTAAGAAATCATTTAATAAAACAATACACAGCATGGAAATGTGTAGCACATATCCACGATTAAGATGATACAATTTATGTACATGTACAGTATTTTTTATCAGGAAGCTGAGGAGGCCGGTGAAGAATTTGACCGAGTCAAGTTATTGGAGGTGGGAGCTGATGAAGCAGAGAGGTGGGAACGAAAGAAGAAAAAGAAAAATCCTGATCAGGGCTTCTCAGGTATTCATTACCATCTCAGGTATTCTCTATCATCTCAGGTATTGTTTACTACATCAGGTATTTGTTTACTATCTCAGTATCTAAGTTTCATTTAGAACTCTGTATAAACATTTTTTTTCTTAATTAGTTTTAAGTTTAACAAAATAGAATGGGTTCATTTTTGAAGGGAATGTGTCATATTTTGCATTTCAGTGAAATAATTTAAAATTTTACATAGTGTTATATCAAACCTAACATTTTTTTTCAGACTATGAATCGGCCACATTCCGTCAGTATCAGAGATTAACAAAGGAAATGAAACCAGACATGAATCAATACAAGGAACAGAGAGATAAAGCGTAAGTTATCAGATTTAAAAGTGTTGATTTCAAAACAAAGGTATAAGTTATCAAATTGATACTGTGAAACACATTAAAAGCAAACACTATTATAAAAAATTGACTCTTACACTGAAACAATTTTCATTTCCCTCGACTTTAAAATATATTGTAAACTCTATGGATAAAAGGAATTATGCTTACATGTTTAACGAAGCAAAATCGTTTGTCCCTGGAACTTGGTTCTAAGTTTAATGTAGGTGAAAGTTATCAAAGTGTAAGTTTACAGATAAAAGGAATAAGTTGTCTATCCAAACAAAAGGCATTAAATGATCAAAAGAAAATGATAACTTATTAAAACAGAGCCTAATTAAGACTTCAACAGTACAAAAAAATTAAATATATATATGAATGAAAGACGTTTGATTCACAGTACATGAAATCGCGAATTTTCGTGGGGGTTAATTTTCGTTCTTTTTGAGGTATGAAAAGACCCACAAATTCATGTCCACAACGAAATGTAAAATGTTACATACATAACTATAAAACAATTCTTCATCCACGAATTCAAATCTCCATGAACCAAGAGTTTTTACTCAAACCATGAAAATTTGACCCCACTAAAATATGTGATTTTATAGTACCGGTAATTAAATTTCTAAATTATTTCCAGATTTTGTGAATTATTATCTTTAAAAAAGGATTCTGACGTTATTGCAGTAAATATTTTTGTTGAAAATCAGTGAAAAAATGGACTCTCTTTAATCATTAAATTCAAATTCATCCAATTGACCTTTATAAATGTTATTGCATGTTTTACAGAGGAGAAGATTTTTATGCCACGCGTAACACATTGGGGCTCAATCAGTGGAAGGACAAACCAGAGAACGTGGATAGAATGGTAGAAGATCTGGAAAAACAGTGAGTATTGAGTAATACAGGATTTTATCAGAGATTTGTCTGCGAGTTATACAAGATTCTATCAGAGATTTGTCAGTGAGTAATACAAGATTTTATCAGAGATTTGTCAGTGAGTAATCCAAGATTTTATCAGAGATTTGTCAGTGAGTAATACAAGATTTTATCAGAGATTTGTCAGTGAGTGATCCAAGATTTTATCAGAGATTTGTCAGTGAGCGATCGAAGATTTTATCAGAGATTTGTCAATGAGTCACATGCAAACGTTTCCCTTTATATAACACTACTGAAAGCAATGTGTATCTATAATCGTATAAATGCAGGTTCCTCAAATGTCATAAATGTTCAAAGTAATTTCTCAGTGACATCATAAAGGGTCGACACGCAATCAATGGATAAAATACATGCTTTTTGGTTTGAAAAAGTAAAACATTTCATGAGTTGAAAGTCATATGTATATAGAAGTAATAAGGTATCATTTTCAACATCAATGAAGATATAAATATGAGATCACATTCCATAGGGCCCAAATGTATTTGATTTTCTTTTTTTTAAAATTATTTTTCATTTTTTAAAATCTTTTTTTATTGTATTTCAGGATAAAAAAGAGAGAAAAATACAGCCGTCGCAGAACCTTTGATGAAGATGCTGACATTGACTATATTAATGAACGTAATATGAAATTTAACAAGAAACTGGAACGTTTCTATGGCACCTACACAGCGGAGATCAAACAGAACTTAGAGAGAGGGACAGCTGTTTAGTGAAATATTGGATACAAGTACATTTAAAGGAGATGCAGAGTTTCTTTACTTCAAAAATTTTGATGGTTATCATGAAAAATATTTGTGATAATGACATGTATTTTACCTGATTCTGTCTGACTATGTGTAAAGATGGTATCATATACATGTAATTTCAAAATAGCTGGGTGTTTTTTTGTTTTAAATATAATTAAAATCATTATGTCACATTTTATTCTAAGAAAGGGTTATTGCAGTAAAGCATCATATTTCATTTTAGTTGTTGTAAATAATGTTTTTTTTAAATTTCATTTCTGCTTGTAAAAAATGGGTTTTTTCTTCATTTTTATTTTTGCTTGTAAATAATGTTTTTCATACATGATTTATTATATTCAAATATGTTTCTCTTTCTAAATGTCATTGTATCAAGTTTCATTCTAAGAGAAACATATTTAATACATGGGTTATACAAAAGGGGGAAAAATCCAAGTTTGTCATTGGATTACCTGTATGATCTGTCTTATTTATCAAATGATTGGAAGAATAAACTTAATTTTTATGCTTTACAAATTCTTAAAAAAGATTCGTGTTTTCACACATGGAGATCACATTGTAGTTTTGAGCAAGGTCTTAGTTTTTAGCTCACCTGAGCCGAAGGCTCAAGTGAGCTTTTCTGATCAAAATTTGTCCGTTGTCTGTCGTTGTCGTAGTCGTCGTCGTTGTCGTCGTCGTTAACTTTTCACATTTTCATCTTCTTCTCAAGAACCACTGGGCCAATTTCAACCAAACTTGGCACAATGTATCCTTGGGTGAAGGGGATTCAAGTTTGTTCAAATGAAGGGCCACGCCCTTTTCCAAGGGGAGATAATCATGAATTTGTTAAAAATTAATGGCATTTTTAAAAAATCTTCTTCTCCAGAACCGCTAGGCCAGGAAAGATGAAACTCATGTTGAAGCATCCTCAGGTAGTGTAGATTCAAGTTTGTTCAAATCATGACCCCCGGGGCAAGGGTGGGGCCAAAATGGCCGACCAAAGTTTTACATAGGAATATATAGGAAAAATCTTTAAAAATCTTCTTCTCCAGAACCACTGGGCCAGGAAAGATGAAACTCATGTGGAATCATCCTCAGGTAGTGTGGATTCAAGTTTGTTCAAATCATGACCCCCGGGGCAAGGGTGGGGCCAAAATGGCCTACCCAAGTTTTACATAGGAATATATAGGAAAAATCTTTAAAAATCTTCTTCTCCAGAACCACTGGGCCAGGAAAGATGAAACTCATGTGGAATCATCCTCAGGTAGTGTAGATTCAAGTTTGTTCAAATCATGACCCCCGGGGCTAGGGTGGGGCCAAAATGGCCGACCCTAGTTTTACATAGGGATATATAGGGAAACCTTTTAAAATCTTCTTTTCAAGTACTTCAAAGCTATGATTAGTGATATTTAAATGGAATCATCCTCAGGTAGTGTAGATTCTAGTTTGTTCAAATGATGAATGCCTGGAGGGGGGGGGGGGTGGAGTAAATTCAAGCCTGATGTGCTCAGGTGAGCGCTGTGGCCCCTGGGCCTCTTGTTACATGTAACTATGGTTGATGAAATTAAATAAACGGGATGTTGAAAAATAATAAAATAATTAAATACCTTATTATAATATAACTATTTTCAACTTGAAAAAATTGATGTGGTTTCCCCTTCTTTGATTAAGACAAATTGAGTAATAGTGAGCAAAGAATAAGGCAAACAATATATCTTCTAGTTTTTCAGGCATCACTGCATTTAATAAATCTGAAAGGGCAATAACTCAATTTTTTTTCTTTTTTCCAAGTTGAGGGAAAAAAATTGATTTATGGATCTTTCCTTAAAGAAAGAGGTTTTTACATATTATATTTGACAGCTGTAATAAAAATGGAACTTCCTGTAAATGTACTTACCTTGTCATTGGTCATTTGCAAATTTTCTTTGTTAAGAAACAGTCTGATTGTAGTCATCATTGTACACACAAGTACTGTGAAGTTGATATTTAAGAGATGGATGCTTTAGTTTCTAAATGACAACATCGCTGTTGTTTTTTTAGAGGTCTTCCAACAATCTACTGGAATTTCTATGGATTCCAATTTCGCCCAGTTATTAGCATATCTATTTTTGTAATCATATGAATCAGAATTTGTTCAAAATCTTTTAAGTGAAAAGAAGAAAACACTTGCTATGGCCTTGAGCTCGACATTTAGATACCCGGTATATCGATGACGTATTTATCAATTAACAATAGATATTTCTATTCTTATGTCATCACGATATAACCTGGTGAGCTTGAGATAAAAGATATCACAGAGTTTGACACATCTGTTTCATATTTGGATATTTTACTTGAAAAAGATGTTAATGGTAATCCAACAACCAAGCTCTGTGATAAACGCGATGGCTTTAACTTTTCTATCATCTACTTCCCTTACTTATGCAGTAAAATACCTTCATCACCTGCATACGGAGTTTATATATCTAAGTTGATTCGATACGCAAAAGAACGCTTTATACGTATGTACAATATCTAAATCAAGATAAATTATTAACAAACAAATTGGTGAAACAAGAATATCAAAGTCGAGGTCAAAAGGTCATTATTGTTGGTGTCATAAGAAATACTCCTGTGAAACATGAAAGACCTAGTGCTTTAACAGTTAGCACTGTTAAAAAATATTGCCAAGGTTAAAGAATTTATACTTAAAGGATGCCCCTCAATTTAATTGCATATACGTCATGTACATATACATTTTGAAAACATAAATCAATTATTTACAAACGAAATTACTGAAAAGCATCAAAACGTCCGCAAAAGATTTATGATAACGTTTCAAGTATAAATGTAAATATGTCTATCACATTATAATCATATTCAAATGTATCGGTAGATAGAAGATGCTGAAATTATTGATCTATCATTTCCATCATGTGTAGCTTAGGTGGACTAAAACATTTGAACAATATAGTTTTGTGTCAATGTCTTCTCAAATGTCTGAGTTGTACGGAAGCCCAATTGTGCAAACCAAAAATAAATAAATAAAAACGAAATTATTAAATAAAGAAAAAAGAAATTATTAAATAAAGAAAAACAAAATTATTAAATAAAGAAAAACGAAATTAATATTTAAAGAGAAATGAAATTATTAAATAAAGAAAAACCAAATTAATATATAAAGAGAAACGAAATTATTAAATAAAGAAAAACGAAATTATTAAATAAAGAAAAACGAAATTATTAAATAAAGAAAAACGAAATTAATATATAAAGAGAAACGAAGTTAATATATAAAGAAAAACGAAATTATTAAATAAAGAGAAACGAAATTATCAAATAAAGAAAAACCAAATTATTAAATATATCATTTGGTTTTTCTTTATTTAATAATTTGGTTTTTCTTTATTTAATAATTTGTTTCTCTTTATATATTAATTTCGTTTTTCAAGTAGAAATACGGAATTTACAGATGTGCATGATAAGGGCCTTAACCCATAAATCATTAGCGCACGCGTCTGTTAGACTTGATTTTGTTTGCCTTTGCACTCACCGACTCCCACATCGAATACACAACCATTACAATAATGTTTCAAAGAAAGTGCACGTGACTCTCATCAGCCACGTACCTCAAATCTATGGAACGCCAAATTAACATATACTCAAATATTTGTACCTATCTTCAAATAATTGTACCTATCTTCAATTGAATTGTACCTATCTTCAAATGAATTGTACCTATCTTTAAATCAATTGTACCTATCTTCAAATGAATTAAAGATAGGTACAGTTCAATTATACCTATCTTTAATTCATTTGAAGATAGGTACAACTGATTAGAAGATAGGTATAAATGCAATGAATTGAAGATAGGTATAATTGATTTAAAGATAGGTACAATTGAATTGAACCTATCTTTAATTACTAAGATATTGGCAATAACAACTACTCCCTTTATCATACGTCATTTCCGATACATCACAGCTGTCGCGAAAGTTTATCGGAATCTTCATCTGGCTGCAATACAAGATAAACTTACATGATGTACATGTGTATTTTTATAAGTATATGATGCTTTTTGCACATTTTGAATTAACCTTTATTTCTCCTTTCATCCTTGTTGTCGTCGCTCTGTAGGTTCTGTGCGTTTCCCTCCATACTCAATATTGTCTCCAAGGGAGCGTTCATTATTTACCAACAACATAAAACGAATTGAACCTAGGTATAATTGAATTGTACCTATATTCTAATCCTTTGTGGATATGTCTTAATTGAACCTATCTTCAAATCAATTGTACCTATCTTTAAATCAATTATACCTATCTTCAAATGAATTAGAGATAGGTATAATTCAATTGAACCTATCTTTAATTGAATTGAAGATAGGTGTAATTTCATTAAAGACAGGTACATGTATAATTCATTTATACCTAGGTTTAATTATTTAGAGATAGGTATAATTATTTATACCTATCTTCAATTCAATTGTACCTATCTTTAATACAATTGTACCTATCTTTAATTCAGTTGTACCTATCTTCAATTCATTTGAAGATAGGTACAATTATTTGAAGATAGGTGCAATTATTTGAAGATAGGTACAAATATTTGAATATATGTTAATTTGGCATTCCATACAAATCACTTGACTCGACACTAATCTAGTGTTTCGGCGGTGTGATATATACGAGGTTTAAGATTTTGATATTTTAATTAGCTGCAAATCCGCCATCATCAGGAGCCTATTTGCACATCTGTTATACAGATTATTAAATTAGTTAGAAGACTAGAGGAGCATATAACTCAGATTTTTAATGACACAATAGGTTATTCTTGGAGGATTGTATTGCAATCCTTATAGATTTCTTAGAATATGCCGGTACTTTAATAATTTTATACATCGGTTTTATTAGCGAATATCGCATACAGAATGGGGATTCTGACTTAGACCCCATCGCATATTCAGTTATTTCTTTGTACATGAATGGTTAACATTTAGTATCTTATAGTAATATGCTTAGATTTGTGTTTTTATCATGCATTAACATGATTAATGTGAACTTTAACCAGTCTGATAATTTGGCCAGTAATTCGGTGAGATGTTGACTTTAACAATTGATTTAATAACATTAGCTTTCTTAAACCCTCTGCTCGAAAGGTCTAATGATCAGCAAATAATGAATCTTGACACGCAAATAATGACTTTGGAAATGAAATATTAAAGAGATTATCCTAATAAATTGCACAAATATTTAAGATAAACATGAAGGTTAAGATTCCGTTGTTATGTACTGTTGAATTTTTAACATTTAGGAAATCCCCATGGCTTTACAGTACATGCATTAGAAAATGCCGTAAAATAATACGTTACCGATCGGACTTTTTGGGTTTGTTTAATATTGTAAAAAAAATGTTTAAAGAGAACAAGTGAAAAAAATTAAACAAGTCAAAGTGGTTACAATAAGTAGATTCTAATGATTGCTCACTGTATAAGAAATAAAGCAAAACACTTCTGATTTCCTGGTCTTAATAAATGTCAAATTCTCAATCTGTACTATTTATAAGTCAGTGGTACTTTATGACTACTATAGAACTTGATTTCCCATATTCTAAATGAGAAACTCTCAATCTGTATTTATAAGTCAGTGATATTTGTAAACAAACAATGCACACACTTGCATAAAACAAATCCCTCAAAGTAATCAAATAATTTTTCTCTTTATAGTTTCAACAACCTAAGATTTATGGGTACACAGAGAGGACGCTAGGTTAAGTTCGTGGGAATTCAGTAATACGATACGGCATACTCTAAAACCTGGCCTGGCCTGGCCTGGCCTCTAAGTTGGCATGGCCTCTATCTTGGCCTCTAATTTGGCTTCAAGCCAAATTTTGGCCTGGCCTCAAAAGTTGGCCTGGCCTCAGAT